GTCCCCAAAAAAGGAGGCAAACACACGATCCAAAATTGCATGTTTTCAATGTTCTGGGATTTTCTTAGACTTTTGATTTGTTTTTTAAACTTGTTGAGCTTTTTGAGGTCTTTTGGATTTGTTCAAAGATATTTCTGATGTGTCTCGAGTTTCTGTTGTTTTTTTCCTCTTCCGAGCACTGTTAGGCTTGGCAAAAATGGGATTTTTGGTTCGAGATGTCACGCCTTTGGAGCCTGATGCTGTGGAACAGTCGCCTGGCGAGGTGCCGCCTGAGCTCTTGCAGGAACTAGGATTGCAATTGGTGCAATTATGCGCCGTGTGACAAAGTGTGCTATCTTCTCTTTTCCACACAGACCCCCTCAGTTTTTCAGTCCTCGCCCTCGCATTCCAAAACATTCCAAAACAATCAGAAACCTCCCCACCTAGTAAGAAGTGCCCTTGTTAAGGGATATCCGATAAATATCCATGACCGAATGATTGATGCAACTCTCGAACCAAGGTTCCCTGCTCCTGGAGGCTGAGTGGCCAGCGCAGAATGCCGGCAGATGCTACGAGCAAGCCGTGAGGCGACAACAGCTCGCCTCAAATCTCATGGTCAAGTGTACGGGCTCATCGAAGCTGGACATGTTGGGATTGGAATGAGGCTTCAAGAGCCCAAACTTCAGATCTTTGCCTTCATAAGCTTTCCAGTCTTTACCTCAGATTCAGTCGTTTTTGGCCGATGCCAGCTTTGCCTCTGTATAACTGCATGGTTAGGAGGGCCCTGCAAGTAATCTGAGCTGGGTGTTGTTGCTGGTGGCATGTGTTCCCGCAAAGGTCGCTAAAAAGGGACCCCCTCCCCCCCTCGCCAACGATTGTTCTCAAGTCACGGAGCTTCTTCACCTCTTCAATCTCGAAATATTGCCTCTTCAAGGGCTTCTCCTCCACCTGCGCCGACATGAATGCTTATTGATGAATGCATGGAACGCAGATCTTCCTGTGCCAAACCTCGAGCAACATTGTCAAGCTTCTTTCCTTGTGTCTGCCGAAAACTAGTTTAAGGCTCAGGTTTGCAGAATTGTTGCGCAGCACATAGCATGTTTGGGAACCGCAGCATGCCATGGTAGACTTGCAAAGCTGGGAGAGGCCACGCAATGTTCGCACATCTTTGCAGCTTTCACCGGTGTTTCACAAGCCTGGGGGTCTCCATCTCGAAAAGCGCAAGCCCAAACTTCAGTTTTGTTCAGCTTGTGAGCGTTCTCAAACAATCTGTCTCACTACAAGCTGGCTTGATCTGTTGCTACCTGTCAAGCCCCCAAAACCTGACTAAAACTGTTTCCGAACCTCTGGGAAGCAAAAGCCGACTGAAAGATAAATCACGCGCGCCACCAGAAGAAAACGGGAACAACGCTCACAACACTGCACGAACGCCCGATATGTGTTACTGGATTCAGGCTTGACGCCCGCAATGACGAGGCATCGTAAACGATGAGGTCGAACTGCATGGACTTCTTGGCGACCTTTCGGACAAGGCAGCTTTGCGAGTTCCACAATTCAGCGCTTGTCAAGTTGATGATTCGGCTTGATCTCAAAAATGCTTTCTGGAAGTCTTGCGCCCCCTGTCACTTTCTCCAAAATGAGAAAAACAAACTGCGCACTGGACCCAACAGTAGCTGGTCCAGACCCTATCGCATCCTTGACCCTCCGTTTTCGAAACAACACTCTGCAGAATCATGGTGTGTTCACCATCTTCAACCCACCTAAGCCCCAACCTCCAACGATACCCATCAAAGCGAACCGACCTCCATGAGCCCGGAGTGACTGAAGAAAGGTATCCGCCGAAGGCGGGCATCAGAGAGCCTCAGAATTTTCTCAGAATGTTCTGCCGCCGGTCGAGCGGGGCTGACGCTTTTAAAGGAGACATGCTGTGGCGTTTTGTGGAAGGCTGCAGGCTTCATAGTCCACAAATATACCCTCAGTATGAGGGCATGAGCATCAAGTTGGAGTTGATGGTGCCCCACTTCTTGGAGCCTTGCGCCGCATGCTGTTCAGAAGCTTCTGCCGTCTCTGTCGAATACCGCGTGAGTGAACACTAAGTTCTGCTTCCAAGGCTGCGTGTAAGACGTGGAATTTATTCAATAAGGCTCCGCCTGGAAAGACATCAGACCCAAATCTTAAAGCTCTCAAGGCGAGCTCCGATTTCAAAACGCTGCCCTACGTCGCTCACCTTGGCCCTCGGCCTGCTGCGGCTCCGGACCATTCCGAGTGCCCAACCAAGACAACAAAGGCATACAAAGGCCCCAACGCATTACCAGTCCAGGCCTTCACCATGTCTTCGATGAGCATCTACCCAAATGAGAGTGACTTTCGGAGTTTAGGTCGATTATTGTTCCGCTCGGTCCCTAATCTTTTACTCGATCCAGGCAGAACAGTCAGGAGGCTTCACGAGGGAGGGCATGCATCGTCGGGCGACGTCTGTGACCTGTCGGGAGCAAGCAGGAGCGTTCAGAACTTTAGAATGTGAACTGAATGTGAGCCTTTTTCAAAGTCTCTGCATTTCAACTCCACTCTGTTGCACTCTGTTGAGGCTGTGGGGTCTTTGTGTGGCTTGGGGCTTCCTATTTTGGATTAACAAGGGTCATCGGTTTGTCCGCCTGAGCTGCATATGTCGCGCAACCCCGAACGTCGACGCAAAAAACAAACAAAAAACCAAACACGCTGTTTTGAACATGATGGTATGCTACAGTATCAGATACGGCAACTCTGAATGTCCTGCCTTTGTGAGGTGGCTCACCCACGTCACCGACCGCACATCGTGGCTGTGGAGGAGTTGGTTGACAACACCTGTGTTTACCAGGTTCTGTATTCCAGGCGTTGATTCCTGACCAAGACTGTTCTTGCTGTAGACGCGCACACGCTTAGTCATTTCAGCGGACAACCTGCCGTTTCGCGCGCGGACAATGCAGGTTTGTGCTTTCTGGCCTGTCGAAAGTCGCATGCGATTGCCCAGCCCGATCTCTGAGCAAGTGCCAAACTGCAGTGACCTACAGTGGGACCTACAGAAGCTGCAGCCAGTCTGCAGCAAGCCGCTTGGCTCGCCCAAGTCGGGCGCCGCAACAATGAGCCGAGGCACCGCCCTCCGCCCCGCCAACGACCAAGAGGTCCTTCATTGGAGCTCCCCTACAAATAACCCTGAATCTGAAAATGCCAGGGCTTGCACGTTTCAGAGAATAACGGTTTAACGAGCTAAACTAACCTGTTGAAACCACCTACAACTTAGAGCTTCCAAGGTGCCCAGGTTCAAGCTTTTGCAAATGTGTGTGCTGTAACCCTGTTTGCGCTCTGTAGGAGAAGGCTACGTAAAAGATGCACTTGAGCCATGCACCATATCTGTAGCCAAGTGTTCTACACGCGCAGTACAGCGTACAGATCACATGTGACAGATTCAGTTGAATGTTAAATGCTTCCTTCATGCACGAACTGTCCCTTCATTCACCTCAACAGTAACATAAACCTCGACCGTACCGCCGTCATGAATAGCGTCTCAGGTTCTGTTTTAGGGTCATGCTCCAAACGAGAGGATCAATCCGGAATACCCTGAATGTCGCGGGAGCAGTTTGGAGCTTGCTATGCTCTTCAAACGTTCACCCCCTCATTGCAGAACTTCAGCTAAAGTTAGGGCTCCGGTGCGCAGGCTGGCCTCTGACTGAACTGTAGGTGTCTTGCTGTGGTGGGCCTTATGAAACGGGAGCCATGAAGGCCTCAAGTCATGGGAGTGGGGCTCGGCAGCTCCACTCCACCCTGCCCGCCCCTGGCAGTCCCTGGCACGCGGCCCCAAGGCGACCAAGGCTGGGAGGGCCAGGCTTTCGTGTGTGTACCTGAGTCTTTTTGAATCTTCACTTCAGGAGTGCCAATTTTTCCTTGGAACCCTCCCCCCCTCCCCACCCCCCTGCCACCGAAGCTTCATCCATCCAAAATCCTTGTAAGCCCACAACTGCAACCCTCCACCCTGCAAACCTCCTCATTTTCAGGGTGCCGCCAATAGTGGACGTTCCGGACCAGTTCTTTCTGACACGCAGTCAGAAACCTTAGCTATGGATGCTGCCGATGCTGATGCTTCCGTTAACCAGGGCACCATGAATAGTATGCATCCTTCTGCTCTACTCTTGCAATTGTAACTCGTGACCTTTCGAGATGCGAATGCGGAGCCAATGTAATTGCATGTTATGCAAGCGCAAGTCAACATGAGCTCAGGCCCAGCGCAACTTCTAGCCATACGGGAACTAATCTCCAACATCTCCTTGCCTCCAAAACCTGAGCCATCCCTACCTTTTCAGAAGCAGAATAAACGAAGGAAGCAATAGCAAAGCAGATGCGTTTCTCAAGATAGCAGCTGCCAGCCCTGTGCCCGTTCGCACTGGGCATCCCCGCACCAGTTATCCTCGGACTCGGACTGGTGGCCGAGGATGCACAGAAGCAATGTTAGCACCGCCGCAGTGCGCATGCCGGCAGGATGGAAGTCCAGAACCGTCTTGCAGCGCAGCGCTACGCCGATGTGGGCCAAGACAATGGCATCTCGAGGACTGCGTTCTATAGGCTATAGCCGGCTATAGCCTGTAGCTACTGCACCTGTGGCTTGGACGATCCAAACGATCCTATCGGTCTCGAGGGGCTGCTGGCGGGGTCTCTGTGCCTGCGATGTTGAGCCTGAGAAGTTGTGGGCCAACCTGCCCCTTTCATGGCCCTCCCTTGAGATGCCTTGAGCAAAAGGCATGACGATGCATGACGTCTGCGGTAGACAAAGCTCGACATGCAATCCATACACCTATGTCTCCACAAGTTTTCTCCCTGATGGTGCCGAGTTGCCAAGCATGTCTGTCACAGGGGCCTAGCACCAGTCCTAAGAGGCGTGGGCATGGGCACTTCTGAGCTGTACCCGGCTGTACCCAGATCCAGAAAAAAAGCAGCCCCGAACCACTCCCAAAACCCGATCCGAAGAAAAGAGCTTTTGCCATCTGCACCTTCCAAGCGAAGCTTTACTTGGCTGATGTGTCCATCAGCGCAGGCGACCCATGCCTTGCCAGAAGCTTCAAGCCGAGTCTCCGACACCCATAGAGATGCCTTGAAAGCAACCACAAGCACCCCTAGGACCCTAGGATGCTCCAGACCCTTGCTTTTGGTAGTCCGATCGGGAGACTCCACGCATGGGGGTAGGCATGGGTAGCCTTCCGAAAGCTTCAGATTGCCTTGCGCCACAACATCGCAGAGCAGATGGCTGGACCTTGGTGCGAAGGGCGAAGGCCAAGCTGCGCCAACGCAAGCAGCTCGTCACCAGCACCTCCTAGCGCCAAGCCTGCTTGACCATTCGCAGCAGTTCGGTAGAATACATCAAATCGGGACAGAAACAACGACGCCAAGCCCGTACCTCAAGCCCACGATATCAACGGAAGCCCCAGGAACAAGAAGCTTGAGTCTCCGGGTTTCCGGCTGCGGGGATCTCCGGCATAACATGATGACAACGGCTCGCTGGGCGAACGCCTTTTTTCGAGGGATAGACCCCCTGCCAAATGACGTACACTGTGAGACTATACGCCGAAGTCCAAGGTTATCGGGAGTGGAGTTGCGCTGGGCTGGAGTCGGCTGAAGTAACTTGGAGTCATGTATAGTTGGTACATAGCGTTCGACTGGGCATTCGGCATGTTTCCGCACCTCATTCTGTGAGTCTGGGGGCCTTGCAAGTCCCAAAGACAGCATGCCGTGGATTCGTAGGTGGCAAGAAGAGCATGCGGACCTTTTGCTTTGGGAGGTTGAGATTTGTTTTCAAACCCCTGCTGGCACAGGCTCTTCTAGATTGTCAAGGATGCACAGCATTGAGTGTAGTCGCCTGCTAAAACGGCTCAGTGCTCCCGAGCCCAGGCACAGCTTTCGCAAACTCCTGCCAATGTTGAATACACTCTTTCTCTCCACGCATTTACGAAGCAATAACGCCATGCGTGGGGTATGGTACATCTGCGGCAAGCATCTTGGACAAAATGACGAGGTTGATACTCAAAAAATTGGCCTTTAACAAGAGTACGTCTCGAACTACGTAGGTTCGGGTCAAGTGACCTCGGTTCTCGATCCTCGGTAGATGCACCGGGCGTCATGATGAGTTGACTAGACTCTCTTCCAGGAATTGGCGTCTATCTTTTTCAGATGATGTGTAGAACGCTGCAGGTTGCAAAGCTGTCTGCGTATATACATGGTCCATAGTAAAACGCTGAACAAGCGACAGTGCCCAGCACATGTCAATACCTCACGCAGGGTTCCAGCAGCCTTCTTTGGGTTCGATATCTGCCGGCTTGAAATGGTGTGGCGGACATGCTTGAATATCCTTGCACCAAGCATTCCGGTCCGCTCTTTTCGAGCGGGAGCTGGAGTCGAATTATGCTCAATCTGATCCGCACAACGGCCCTGGAAACGCCCCGATTGTTCTGCTTCTGATGGCGCCAATTCTCGCACTCACTGGATCTTCGATGTGCCATCGTTCGGCTCCAAGTCTCTTTCCCCTTCCTACCGATACACGGGGCAGTCTGGAGCCTTTCCTCAAGCTTTCAGGGTAGCTCATGTAGCTTGCATGCGGTTCTCCACTTATATTTCGTCATCGTGCGGTAGCCTCTGACAGCTTGAATTGCTTGAATCCTAGCTCCGACTGCGGCCGTCTTTCTTTGACCGGCAGTAAGCGCTTTCAGGAATCTTTGCCCACGCGCCAGCATTTGCACGAGACGATAGTGCACGAATTGAGGTGCCTATAAGGGGTTGTAAGTGTAGTAAGACTTAGGAAGACTAGTAAGACACATTCTTTCTATTTAGCTTTGAGGATCTCCGCGCTTTTCACGGCAAAGAGCGGTTGCGGTCATCGTCCACACTCGACTCGCTCCGGAGCTCCTTGGAGAGGCAGTAGGAGTGTGACAATCTAGATTTGCTTCTTTTGAGCCTCAACTTGGACGTGCTAAACCATGTATGCGCTCGTGGGTGGGTCTGGCTGAAAGTATTAAAAGAAACCGTTCTTGTCAAACCGCGCTGGCTAACTGCCAATGGAACGCCCCAAGCCCACATGAACAGGCTCCAATTTGAGCCAGTTGCAAGCTCTTCCACCGCACCACGCTCAGTGGATGTCAGTGGGGCGCGGCTCTGGCACACGGTCTCCTCAAGGTATACTTTTCAGTCCCTTGGCTACAAGTTCAAAAGAGAATTGAGGATGCAATGTGTTCTTCTCTTGGGCGGTGAGTGCATACAAACAGCACTTCTTCCATAGCATCCTCGGTTGGCGTGGCTTCCAAATGGTTTGAATATTGTGTTCTGGGCATCTCGGTGTACGTTTTCGGTGCCTTGTTTTTAGGTCGAGCAGTCATGTCTTCGCTGACATGTACACAGATTACCCAGGGCTCATGGGTCATGAGCCATGGTCTGGTCAGCTGCAGGATTGACCTACGATTTTACGTCGCTTTGTGGGTCGGTCAGTCGTTGAGTCTCGGCCCAACTTTGCTTGAGGTCCTCGTGTCGGAAGGCATCCACTAGCACGGCTGTGCAGGCGAAGGTGAGAACCAGCGTTCCCACCAGTAGGACCTCACTACTAGTAGTTGACAACTTCGATCCCTGCTTTGAGAGGGGCGGAGTTGAGGGAGACTGATATATGCTTCATGTATATGAACATATGTATATATATATAGATGTATGTATATATATATATATATAGATGTATATATATATATGTATAAAAAAAATATCCCCATATATATATATATATATATCCACACACACACACACACTCACAACGCACACACACACACACACCAGCACGGTACTATTCTGTGTATATATATATATATGGTGCTTTAGCAAAACAGACACAGCAAATACCATTCATTCATCTGCTGCGATGCCACATATTTCGGCATCTCAACTACAGCACTCCCCGTGCATGCACGCAGTGGTATCTCAGACAGGTAAAGTAAGTGTCCTCCCAAAACCCCAATTAACTACATGCTCTTGCTTCTACATGGTACAGACCACCCGCGTGTGATTCGCCAATACATTGCAGCTGCGATTGTTGCATGCAATTTGTTACAACCTGCTGATAAGTAGGAGCCACATCTCAACATCCAGTGATTGAATCATGTCTCCATTCATTACAACGGCAAAAGGATAGGATCATCACTTCATTCAGAAACGTAAACTAGTAAACCCCCAGGTTGAACACCCCAGGGGCTCAATTGTTTCAGGTTCCTCGGTGATAAACACATGACGCAAAACAAGAATGCATAACTCAACGAATGAACGAATAGGAATGGCGTTAAATTCGCACGTTTACCTACTGTGACAGATAGCCTGACATAGTACATTGCATTATGTTATTGATACGGTGATATTGATGAAATGGATAAGACTGCCTTCTCCTGATTAGGGGCTCGTTTAACTAACTAGTCAATGGAGTATATAAAGCTGACAAATCAGAAGGGATTGTGATATTCTCTAATCTCGAATAGTTACAAGATTAGTAACGTATTAAATCGCTGTGCTACTAATCTGAGGGTAGACTTGCACACTTAGGAGGCGCCACTATGCTTTTTCCGAATATAGGGAGTGAAGATAATGCTATTGGCGCGAGAATAAATTAGCTTTCCCCATCACTAGATTTAGCTAATTTGAGGAGCAGACTTGTGCAATTGGGAGACACCACCGTTTGCACGAATGCAGGCATGCACGAATCTGAAACCCAGCTTCAAGTGCTCTCTTTCAATCTCAGCGCTGCCCGGGGACGGTTTGCCAGCCACGCTTGAAGAGGCTCACATAGAACTTCAAGGAGTTCTCATAGTAGATAGCCGGAACATTAACCAATATCCTTAGTCATGCCGAGCGGCTCAACAGGGCGAGGCAGCTACAAGTAAGGACTATAACGCTGATTTACTATACGTTGCAACGCCAAGCTTTCAGCCCCAAACATGGACGATCACGTGTCGGGCGGACAGCTTACGTGCTTGTGACCCTGGTTCTTTTCATACTTCCAGGTTGATACCACACACGCCAGGCTCCTCCCGACATTTAGACTCCGGAAGAGAAACCTACTGCATGCCGAGGAGCAAGAAAATGGGGCCGACACCCCTGCCAAGGAAACAAAGAAGACTAGCCAAGTAGTTCCCGTCTGCCTCCAGGGCCAAGATGCACATGTGGCGCCCTTCATTCGAGGTTTGTGACGCTGCTTGACGTGAGGACCCAAAGCGGCATGGGTCTTGTCATGCAATTAAATACTGCGATAGCACTACACGCAAGAAGTCTACTATGAACGAGACCTGGCTCTTCGCCAGGTGTCTCCCCACAGTGGTAGCCAAGGCTTTCTCCACAGTCACGCCCGCGGCATTGAGAAAGCCTCCGGGAAGACATCTACAGGATCTATATTGTATCCATACAAACCAGAATCAGTAATCAACAACTAGTAGTCGTAGTCATAGAAGTCAGCGAGCTGACCCATTCTGGCCTCCTGAACCGGCGTGAAACTCAAAGTTCTCAAATGCCCTGGAAACTTCGATGGCGTTAGGAGTCCTAGCCCACCAATATCATGTGAGAGGCCCCAGGCATACCATGCCGGCCGCGTCAAGAATCCAGTGCTCTCGTGCCTGCTGCAGCGGGAATTCCCGAAGAAGCATGTGGCGGGAGACCGGGTACATGCACCACATTTTTATCGGTATGTTACCCAGGGTATGATACCCAGAAGGGGCCCATTCGGCAAACCATATGGGCCGAAACCAAGCCGGTGTCGTACAAGCCAAAGGTTGCTGGTACCTTCAGAGGTACCGTGATGACAAAAACTTTGCTTATTGAATAATCCTGCTTGGCAAAGGCACCAATAGGCGACAAAACCGAAGACCACAGGCACGGCCAGCCAACTGCGCTTGCTTCCCCCGATGGGAACCTTGGGTGTCGAGGTGAGGCGGAAAGAGGAACAAGATCCTCCAGTACGATTTGTTACGGGTCAGATTGTGATTACAAAAGAACAAGAGCTTTGTTACGGGCCAGATTGGGTGAGGACAAAGCAACAAGAGCCTCCAGTACGATTTGTTACGGGCCAGATTGGGTGAGCACAAAGGAACAAGAGCGATTTGTTCTGGGCCTGATTGGGTGAGTACAGAGGAACAAGAGCTTATTTGTTGCGGGCCAGATTGGGTGAGTACAATGGAACAAGAGCCCCCAATACGATTTGTTACGGGCTAGATTGGGGTGAGTACAAAGGAACGAGAGCGTCTAGTACGATTTGTTACGGCCAGACTGGGTAAGTACAAAGGGAATAAGAGCAATGAATAAGAGCCTCCAGTACGATTTGTTACGGGCCAGATTGGGTGAGTACAAAGGAATAACAGCAAGGAATAAGAGCCTTCAGTACGATGTGTTCCGGGCCAGATTGGGTGAGTAAAAAGGAATAAGAGCCTCAAGTACGAGTAGTTACGGGCCAGATTGGGTGAGTACAAAGGAATCTGAGCCTCCAGTACGATTTGTTACGGGCCAGATTGAGTGAGCAAAAAGGAACAAAAGCCTCCAGTTCGATTTGTTACGGGCCAGATCGGGTGGGTACAAAGGAATCAGAGCCTTTAGTACGATTTGTTGCGGGCCAGATTGTGCGAGTACAAAGGAAGTACGATTTGTTACGGGCCAGATTTGGTCTGGGTTTCTGAATTAGTGCCAGTAGGTGTGTAGTCGTGTAAGGGGGTGTAGTTTACGGGGGGGGCGGGGGGTGTAAAGGTAAGGGGGGTGTAA